TTTTTATTGCAATATAGAGGGAAGACATGGAGGTTAAATATGGAACACAATATCTGATAAATGGCCTCCTCGTGACTGACGGCACACGTTGATTCTTTTGACAAAATTTTCGATTACATTTTGGCATAGTGCCGGCTCAATTTCATCAATGACCCGTCGAATCTCATGTTTTAGTTTAGGAACTGTTCTTGGGTTATTAGCATAAACCTTTTCCTTCAAAAAATTCCAAAGAAAGAAATCTAACGGAGTCAAATCGCATGGTCGGCCTGGCCACATCACATCCTCGCGGCGCGAGATAACTCTGCCTTCAAATTTTGTCCTCAATAATTCCATGGTTTCGTTGCTGTGCATCGCCTGCTGTCTTTAAATATTGTGTCAACCGAATCTTGTACGCATGAAAATGCAGTTCTTTGGCCAAAATTCGCTGTAAACTGCTTCGAGAGAGTCTCAATTGCTGGGAACGGTGGCGAATCGAGGTGGAAGAATTATTTTCAACACTTTCACTAACTGCTTCAATATTTTCAGCAGACCGAGATGCACGAACACGGACATGTCTCTTTTTGGTTTGAATTGACCCAATCGTTTCAAACTGCAGGATTAATCGGACCCCAGTACGGCGAGAAGGTGCGTTATGGTGACCGAAAAATCCACGATATCTTCAAACCGTTTCCGAAAAATTCTCACCATTTCGATAGTGGATTTTTACAATTTCTATGCGTTCGGCGTTCGTGTAAATCTCCATGACTTAACCTCAATGTTCACACAAGACCACTGTCCAACAACAATGCTGTACGATTGACACAAAAAAAATGACAGTAAATTTAAAATAGGCGGTCTTAATGGGACACCCTTTACTAAATATGTTATCTGTAAAACAAAAACTTATGTTTGATGTTTATGTGTTAAGATAAAGACAAAAATGGTACCTGACTATATGTGATAAAATTAAATTATTTAAGGACATTCATAATTATTGTACAAGAATTCAAAACGACTTTATTTTACTTGATAGAAGTGTATCGAATCAATTTAGAAACACAATTTTGTTCAAGGGCCTATTTGAGTATAATCAACTCCCAAGTACGATAAAAACATGTGATAAGCTTCCTCAGTTTAAAAAACTCATTAGAAGTTATGTGTTGTCAAATTTTTAATTTTAGTTTAGTTATGTATGCATGTGTATATTATATGTACCTATATATTTATATTTTTATTATTTACTGTTGTTATTACCCAGTTTATATATTTAATTATAATTATATTCTTAATACTGTTAATTTACCATTTGTAAACTATGTAGCATTTTTGCCTAATAAATATATCATTATTATATTATTAATAAATAGGAATGGCTTTTTTGACTTTTTATATTTTCTTTTTAACAATTGTTTTGTTTATTTTCATTATCTTCATTATTTTATAACATGTTTTATTTGGAATAGATCTTTTTTATAATTTTTTTGATTTCCTTTAAAAAAAATTGTATATTTCTAATTTTTAAAATAAATATAAACCATATTTAAAAAATAAAACATTATTTTATAGCTTTTAGATTTTCTTTTAAAAAAAATTTCGTTTATTTCCAAGTTGGTTTTATTTTTTCCTGTCTTAATATATGTATGAACAAAAAACCTAAAATCATATTTTATATAGGTATTGTTTTGTTATTCATATTTATTATTTTATAACAAGTTTTATTTATGATTTTTTTATTTTCTTTTATAATTTTTGTTTGTTAATTTTTGGGTTTTTTAATTTTTTCATAATTAAAAAAAACAAAATGTATGATATGTTTTTTTTTCTTTTTAAAATTTATTTTGTTTATTATCTAGTTTTTTTATTTTTTTTGATTTGTTCACATTATTTTGTAACGACTTTTATTTGAAAAAGATGTAGGTGGGTGAATCTCACGAAATGTCCCCCGATGGTGTTACCCCGTGATATTTAATAAAACTAAATGAGTTTGACCTACCTTTTTATTGTGTTTTGATCTTCCATAATTAAGTAGATATTACAGCTTAGGTTCCAGATTTTTAACCGCAATTAATTATTTTGTACAATGTTTTAAAAGTCTAAAACCTATCCTCCGTGACTGTTACTCTTTATAGGTTAACCTAAATGTTTTCAAATATCTGAGGTAATAAAAGCATACTAAAAATATCAGTTCACTAAGTAAATTAAACACATCCAAAGCAATCGAATCAAATATAAAATTTTATTAAAAATTAAATGAAATAATTTTTATAACCATTTATGTAGTTGTTACAAAAATTGATTCTATCCTCCGTGAATCTGTTTTTGCTTTAAATTTTATGCAACGGATGGCGCTTTAATCATTTTAAATAAGCAAAAACCTCTGTTTACGACATTATAGATGCATGTGATTCCTGAAGGTCATTTATAATTTATATGCAGATGAGAGTGTTGCTGTTTTATAATTCAAAAGTTTTTCATTAATTTGCTATTTAAAAACAGTAAGTAGATTTTTTTATAAATATTTTATGTATGTACAGGGTGATCCCCTATAATGTCGCCCCCCTTTAACTTTTTTATTTTAAGGGTCCCAAAAAATTTAGTGTGCTTATGTAAATACTAAAAATAGTATATTACACTACAAGGGCAAAAAGTGTGAGATTCCTTACGACATTAATATAACCTCAAAATTTGGGCAGGCATCAATATGTATATACACATTTAATTTTTTCCCGTATTTTCGGCCGGGTTGTATTTTCGGCCGAGGTAGTAAGAAAAATAGTATACACTACACGGGCAGAAAGTGTGAGAGCCCTGAACTGCGCGCCATGATGCCCTCGGCTTCGCCTCGGGCATCATGGCGCGCAGTGCAGGAATCTCACACTTTCTGCCCTTGTAGTGTAATATACTATTTTTCTACGCATAAAGAAAATTGGAAAATTGATCAGTATACAGGGAAAAACAAAAAGTGTTTTGTTTTCAATGGATCACCCTATGTATGTATTTATTTTTCGATTCCTTGTAAAATTCTAAGCATATTTCATATAACATACCATATACCTAAATTCAACCGTTTCTGAAATATTTAAATTATTTTTAAGATAACAAGTTGAAATAGTTTGTCTTTCTCTGTCTGAGTACGCCATTTTTACTTATTTAACAAGACATATTGACATAATGTCACTATAGTAATTTTTTTCAATACCAATTTTGGTATACCGAGGGTTCTTGATTTCTAACAGTTTAAAAAAACATTAATGATAACATTTCGAATGCAAATATTTCAGAAACAGTTGAATTTAGGTATATGGTTTGTTATATGAATTATGATCAGAATTTTACAAGGAATCGAAAAATAAATTCATATATAGGGTGATCCATTGAAAAAAAATAAACTTTTTGTTTTTCCCTGTATACTGATCAATTTTCCAATTTTCTTTATACGTAGAAAAAAAGTATTTTTTAGTACCTACATAACCACACTTTTAAATTTTTTGGGACACTTAAAATAAAAAAATGAAAAGGGGGGCGACATTATAGGGGATCACCCTGTACAATTGTATTTTTTAAAATATTAAGGTGTCAAAAGATACAATAACTTATTTCAAATATACAAAATGTAAAAAAAAACATACGAAATCCTAACCTCCGTGAAGCTATCTTCCATGAAGCTCTAATGTTCAAAATGTATGATTTCTTAAAATTCTTGCATTAGTGCAGAACCACTTATGTTATGATATTACTAGACCTGGTAGCTTCCCAAAAACCCCATTCTAGACTAACAGTGAAACAAACAAAAATAAAAAATAATCATTTTCAATTGGGGGACATCTCAATATATTCACCCAGGTATATTTATTATTTTCTTTTAATATTTTGTTTGTTCATTCTTCATTTTTTTTCCCGAAAAGACATAAAATGCGCAGTTCCTGTTGGATAGTATACGTATAAAGAAGTGTCGCTAGTAGCGCCACCACTCGGCTGTTATCATCGCAACAAAAGTACCACTTTTAATAATCAGCTGTCAAACGCTTAGGTTACAAAAGAGTTTTTTTTAGAATAAAGCCGGAAAATGTTAGTAAATATCGAAAAAAAAACCGTGGCTCTATTTATTGTGTTGTTGGGTGTATTTCGAGAGGAAATACTGGGTTGAGTTTTTACCGGTTTTCCAATAAACAGAAACTGAATGAAGAAATAAATTCCATACAGTCTCTGTAAATATAAATTGTACTTATTAGATACAATAAATACACATTTTAGTAGTGATTAACATGCAAAGGGTAAACATTTCAATTCAGTAAAAGTCGTCTAAATTTAAACAGCATTTAGCATTATTAAAAGCGTTGATTAAGAAAGTCTCCACTCAACGGTAAAATACTCAAATATAAAAATGGTTGATTTTAAGGTTATGTTTGTGCAAAAATTATTTTTTACTAATTTCTTAAAAATTTCCAAACTTAAATATAAATTATATTAGGTAAAGTTATCATTAGTTAATTCTGCAGAACAAATGTACTAACCGAATTGGATCCTTTGGCAAAACATGAAAATGCAACGATTTAGTTCTTGAATTTTATTTACAATTAAAAACACAATAATTCACCATGATCCCTTAGATAAAATACACACACTAACGTAACTATAGTTGCTTATATATATATAAGCATTTAAGCGTTGAGTTTCTTACATCAATGATATAAGGAATAATAAATCGAAATCGAGTACTAAAAAAGTTTTTTAATTTTTTTCTTGCAACGTAAATCACAAATAACGTGTGCGATTTAGCTGTGCAATTGAACAAAATTTGTCGAGTGAGACTTCTCCTCCCTCTTTTGTGAAAAAACTACCTATTTATTTAAAAATGATGTATAATCTGTGCTTTAAATGTATTGTTGACAATTCTTAAATTCACGCAATGCTATCAAAGCCCACAAAATGGCGCGCGCGTTGCGAAAACCCGATACGTCTTTAGCGTATAGCGGGATAACCAACTCTAAAGTGTAACTAATATTTTTGTATTGGCTCACCTGATTGGCCGCTATAAAGTCCTGATCGTAGATGGACGGCCTGGGCTTGAGGCCCTGCAAATGGGCGCCGAGCTGCTGCAGCAGACTGGGCTCCAAAACCCCGGCCCTCTCCGCCGACTCGGCGATCGTCTTCGCGCTGATGTCCCAGCCGTCGACCACGATGTCGTTGGGATCGACCATGGGCAGCACCTGCGACAGCTGAACGTTGACGTCGTCGCCCAGGCGCACGGTGCTGGCCTGCGTCACCGAACCGAACCAGTTCGCGTGCTGCGTGCCCCGCCTGGTAGCCCACGACAGTCCCAGTCGGTTCGCTATCAGCGCGGCCGTGAACGTGGACCCGTTGTTGCCCCCCCAACCCACCAACATCACCCCCAACTGCGGCACCTTACGTTTCGTGCGGAATGTCAGCTTTTCTGTTAAAGGTTTCACCTAAAAATAAGCAAATATACTAATTTTGTTATTAATATAATGAAGCATTTTGAAAACAAAATTCTGAGCACCCTGTACATTTTATTAAATTTTTTTATGGAAATCTAATTTTGCACACAGAGGAGTTTTAATGATTCATGATTTTTTTCGTAAAACGCATAATAAAAAAGTATTTCCTATTGGCAACTGTACCAGGTTGTATCACGGTCAATTGAATTTTTTATAGCAATTATAATACCATTTAAACCATTTTTTTTAATTATTTTAAACAAAATTCCTCTTTTGAGTTATTTTTTTGTAAAATTCGGTCAGTTTCGCCCTCAACGAACAAAGCTTATAACTTTTTTAATATTAGGAAATTTATTGTAATATTTTTAAAAAGATATAAACTAACAGGCAAAATAATCGATCCACTCAAATTGTCTATGGATTTCAATCGCAAATAACTTTCTTAATTGATTTAGGATTTAAACAAATATTAAAGAATATTGTAGATAAATTAATGGAGAATCGCTCACATTTTAAAAATTACCAAAAAATAGACCTACGTTTATAATATACAGGTTTAAACAAAAAGATTTTTTTTACAATAAGTTTAAGATACTCTGTAGAGTGGCAAAACCGTATATTGTACTAAATTAAGTTTTAATTATCAAGTCACATCTATTTTTAACAGTTTTGTTTTTGGTTTGCATTGCAATTTCCAATATTTTTTCTGTACGAAGAACTAAGGTTGCTATGGTCCATCCATAGGGGGGGATGACAGTGACAGTTTTGTTGAATCATCCCATATTTGGACATGTTATATACGGCTTTTAAAAGCTATCAAATTGTGTTTTACTAATTAATGTGTTAATTTTGTGGTGTCTTCTTACTTTTAAAAATGGATATGTCTCCGACTGATGTTGCCCTTTGTACTTTACTTCTTGTGACGTTTAAAACACTTGCCACGTGACCGTCCATCCTGAATTAAATCAATGGCTCTGGCAACATATATGACATGTCCAAGTATGGGATGATTCAACAAAACTGTCACTCCATCCTCCATAGCCTATGGATAGACCGTAGCAACCTTAGTTCTTCGTACAGAAAAAATATGGGAAATTGCAATGTTTTTTAAAAAAATCCATATTTTCCACAAAAATAAATATATCGAGGTGAATCAAAAGCAAAATTGTTAAGAATAGATGTGAGTTGATAATTAAAACTTAATTTAGAACAATATACGGTTTTAGCCACTGTCTTAAAGTAATGGTAAAAAACTTCTTTTTATTTAAACCTGTATATTATATTAACTTGTCTGTATATTATATTAACTTTAGATATAGGGAATTCTTATATCCATGAAAAGGTATTTCATATTTAATTATGTAAAAATATACAGGGCGTTCCATTGAAAATAAAAAAGTTATTGCTGTTTTAAATTAGCTACATTCACATTGTTTTTTAACAAGTATATATATTACAATAAATTACATGGAATTTTTAAAACAATGCTTCAGGATTCCAATAAATCCAACCGAATATCAGCTAACCTAATAATAGAAAAGTTATAAGCTTTTTTTGTTGAGGGTGAAAATGATCGAATTTTACAAAAAAAAATAATAACTCAAAACTATTAAGTTTAGGTATAGGACATGAATCATGTCACATGATATAGCCATTTTATAATGAATAATAGTAAGAATTTAAAAATGTAAAAAAATTGTGGTGATCCATTAAAAATAACAAAGTTAATATCGCTTCCGTTAAAACCGGAAGAGAAATTTTGTTCAAAATAATTTAGAAAAATAGTTTAAATGATATTATAATTGCTATAAAAATTTCAATTCGAAGTAGACGTCTTTTGCGGTTCTTCATAAACGTGATACACCCTGTATAATTTTTTTGTTATTATTACTAATAATTTATTAGTTTAAAAAATATATTTCTTATGTACAGACAAAATGTTTTTAAGTTATTTATGATTTTAGTCATAAAAACCTGAAATAATAGACTTTTTTTTAAATTAAATATCGTAAACACGGGTGGCTTTAGCTCACTTTCAAACTTAAGCTTAAAATTTTTGTGGTTTTAACAATCATAAACATTAAATTTTGTATACCAAAATTTGAGTCATGAGTTGCTCTTTCTTAATAACTATGTTAAATATTACATAAGGCTGAGTTTCAAAAATTAAAATTAAAAACTGGGTGTGCAAAGTTACCCCCTGGTTGCGGGTAACTTTGTCTCAGAGTGTATTTTCCGTATAAAATTAACTCAATATTTTATTTTATTTTTATTAGACATATATCTATTGCAAGGGATTACCGATAAAAAAAAATAAAAAATCGACCTGTAGTTAACCAAGGATCATCATTCCAAAGGATTGCGCATAATATAGAAATTGTAACGCGTGTATTTCTTTTTGAGAGAGAGTTTTGCACTGATGTGATATACAGGGTTTTCATTTTAAAACGAACCACCTTAAATATCTTTTAAATTAAAAGAATTTTAAAAAATCCAAAAAATACGTCGAGTTATATAAGAAGGGGGAAGTTCTATCACATTATTTAATTTAATCTAGTGCTCACCTCCCTACAAGTGACACCTCATTTTGAAGAGCATAAAATTCTCTATCCAATGGTGTGAAAAAATAGTAAATCGGATGGCTATTTAAGGATCTGGAAGATAAAATGTGTGCTGATAAGATAAAATAATAAGGTAAAAACAATATTGTTTTTAGGTATCTTTTTGTGCAAAAGGTAATAAAAATGTCCTTAAATACATTTAAACTGGCACTTTTATCATTAATTCATTTTCTACATTGCTCCTAGTAAGTTTAAAATTAAGACATTAAAATGGAATACACTTGAATAGAATTGAAATAATTTTTCTTTATGGGGCTGAAAATCGCTGTGCGCGTCAAACCACCAGAGTATTTAACGAGAGGCATCCGAATAAAAACGTTGGTCATAAGTATGTGATTGAATTGGTTCGTAAGTTTCAAGATACAGGAATGGTATGTAACCAAAAAATAACTGGACCAAGAATTCTGGATGAGGGTTGTCAAATTGAAGTGTTGGGTCATTTTGCTGCGAATCCAAATTTATCGATTCCAAAAGTCTCCAGACTGACAAATATTTCTACTGGTTCTGTGCACAAGATTTTGAAGAAGAATAGATTTTTTCCATATAAATTACAAATTCTACAAGAACTTCGCGAAGATGATTGCGATAGAAGAATTGAGTTTTGTGAATTAATGTGTCAAAGAATTGATGAGAATGCTAAATTTTTAGAAAATATCTGCTTTTCGGATGAATCGACTTTTTTCCTTAATGGGTTTGTTAACAAACATAATTGTAGATATTGGGATAATGAAAATCCACATCAATATGTGGAGGGTAATACTCAATTTCCACGCAAAGTCAACGTTTGGGCGGGAATTCTGGGAAACGAAATTATAGCCCCCCTTTTTTTTGAAGAAAATTTAACTGGACAGTTGTATCTAGATCTGCTTGATAATTACATTGAGCCACTTATTGTACATTCAGTAGAAAATCAAGTAGATGAAAATGGGGCCATGCTTCTTAATGAAGAAATGCTACATTTTCAACAAGACGGAGCTCCAGTTCATTTTGCTTTACCAGTTAGAGAGTGGTTAAATCAGCGGTATCCCGGCAAATGGATTGGTAGAAGAGGTGCAATGGAATGGCCAGCAAGGTCTCCTGATTTGACTCCCCTAGACTTTTTTCTGTGGGGTCATTTAAAGACGGTAGTATACACAACTCCACCTGATAGTATACAGGAACTGAAGGACCGGATATCACAAGAGTGTAGAAGTATTTCGTCTCAAACTTTAGCCCGTGTCCGCGAAGAATTTCAAGATCGACTTTACTATTGCCTACACCGAAAAAAATAATGTAGTTGAGTTAACATTTGCCTAAATGTCATTTTTAAAAATGTTGTTTCAACAAAAAACCTATTGGATTAATCTATATTTTGGTGTTAAAGCAAAAGTCAGAGTTTGTCAAAGTTTATTTGTTCATTTGACAGTTTAAATATTAATTTAACATAAACTAATATTTTGAATTAATATGTTTATCGTACTTTGATTTAATAGCTGGAATTTGTTGAATCAACTACTGAAATTTTTAGGATTACCTAAAAAAACTATTAAATTAACGTTTAGTTCCTCTTTAATCCAAAACTTTAAATTTGTTCATTTAACAAATTTAAAATGTTACTTTAAAATTTAAAATGTAAAATTTGCATTCATAAAATTGCCGAGAATGGCGCTTCGAACACTCACGCCACGTCATTAGACAATGACGTTTTCTTACATCTCGCCTTAGTTAGCTTACGATTAGGTGTATATAAGATGAGATATCTGTTTGTTTAAGGTGTGTTCCACAGTAGAACTTTCACTACACCATATTGCCCGACACTGTTAAGACCCTCAATACAGGGCGAAACAGTCTGTCGGTATTTGAAGTAGGTGGAACACATGATACAAAGATGTATCATGGGTGGAACACGCTCAAAACAAAAACTCTGGGCGAGGTGAAGGTTCAATTCTTTCTATTTATATTATAATAATATATTATTTCCATAATTTTGTTTTGGATACCAACCTTTAAAGAATTTTACATTTTCAGAATGTTGATTTAACATTTTATTGGTGTTAAGTGAATATGCTAAAAAGGTTACCTGGACATTTCAAGAAATTTACCTTAACACCCTAAGAATGTTAAATTAACCAAATTAGCAGATTAGAACAAATATTCTTATTTTGTTCATTTGACTGCTATTTGTTGTTCAATTAAACAATACAATTTGACATTTTTAGATGGTTAAGTAAACGTGCAAAAACCATTGCTTGTATTTAAAGTGCATAAAGAGTTGAATTAATATTTTTTTTGTTGTTTCAACAGCTTATTTTTTTCAGTGTAGCGAAAAACGGCGAACATTTCGAACAATTTATAAAGTAAAAAATGTATTCAATTTAAAAATAAAAATATACAAACCTTTTTACTTTTTTCGATTTACAGCACATTTTATCTTCCAGATCCTTAAATAGCCATCCGATTTACTATTTTTTCACACCATTGGATAGAGAATTTTATGCTCTTCAAAATGAGGTGTCACTTGTAGGGGGTTGCCATTTGAAATTAAAAAGTAGGGGTTGGTGGGCGCGAGGGGGTGAGCACTAGATTAAATTAAATAATGTGATAGAAGTTCCCCCTTCTTATATAACTCTACGTATTTTTTGGATTTTTTAAAATTCTTTTAATTTAAAAGATATTTAAGGTGGTTCGTTTTAAAATGAAAATCCTGTATATGTAGTTATGTACAATTTTAAAGTGTAATAAATCCCATTTCTTTCTTTAAAACACTGATTTTTCTGTAATATAAACTCAATAAATTTGCTCAATTGTAGTGATGTAAAATTCTCGAGCACGTATTTTAGAAGAACGTTCCCCGAGCACAAACGAGAATAAACGAGCATAAACGAAAAAAACCCGAGAATTTATGTTTGGGGTGTGATAAAGTATTCAAAAACTTACTTTTCCTGTTTTTTTCGAAAATGCTCAAAATTCTCAAAATGCTAAAAATGCTCAAAATTCTCCTAACGCTTCTTAAGAAAAATGACACTGTATTAATATTCTGGGTTGTAAATAATACAATAATTACTTCTAACTTTAAAGAAAAACTTTATTAAATAAAAAATAGCAAAATTTTAAGTAACATCTTAAGTAGCATACAAAGTACATAAGTATCGTGTAAGAAGTTAGGTAACTTAACAAAGGTAGGTAGGTACCTACTTACTTTCCACAATTTTTTTGTCTTTCAGTATTAATTGAACCCTTACGGATTCGGGACAATTTGTTAAATGATTTGCCATTCGGTTGGCATGCCGGCTGTATTCACAATTACAAAATTTGCAAGAATAAACGTCTTTACCATGTCTTTTTTTATGAAAAAAAAAAATCAAATGCCTCGCATTTTCTTCTAGGCATATTTATTAAATCAAATATTTAAGTTTCTAGCGGAAAACAAAAAAATAACACTACCCAATCTCTCTAATCACACACACTGACCCGAGCACTGACCTTTACGCAACGAATCTAACGTGTTAATCAAAATCAAAATAGTCAAAATATTTTTAAAACGCAACAGCCGCAAAAAAATACATGCAAAAACTACGGTCGGCATCGCCACAAAAGAGACCGGCAGTAATATACGAAAAACCGCCGCCGCTTGGCCAGAATCGTGCTGAAAATTCTCTAGAGAACTTTCGCGCACGATAAATCGTTTGGACACGAAAGAACGATCTATCATGCGCGCACGAACGATTTAATTGTGCGCGAACGTTCGCGAATATTCGCCACAGCACGAAGGGAACGTTCCCCACTCTACATCACTACTCAATTGACAGGTTTAGACCAACAAATTATAAATGTTAATTTTATCGAGCGCGAAAAGATCTTTCATAAAAGGGTTAAACCCACCCGCGGGGTGCAAAGTCACCCGTGTTTACAGTACCTATTAAATTCTTTTTTTCGTATTCTCACTTAAATTTAAAACAACTTTTTTTATAAAAAAATTTTTATTAACTAATAAATAAAGGCTCTTCTCTCTAGAAGCATTTTCACGTTTTCTTAATTTCTGAGCACCCTGTACGATTCAAAGGTTTTTTACGGAAAAGTAATTTTTTAAAGTTTTTATGAATAATAATTTATTTCATAAAACACTTTTTTCTTGAAGCATTTTCATGTTTTCTTAAATTCTGAACACCCTGTAGATTTATTTCAAAATGGTTTATGGGCGTCTCATTTTTAAAACAAGCAGGAGATTTAATAAATAATATTTTTTCTTGGTAATACCTACCTAGGCAGATTTAATAAAAAAGTTTTCCCTATTTTTTGTTTTTATTTCTAATAATTTATTACTTAGTTTAGGAAAATATATTTCTGATGTACAGAAAAAATGTTTTTAATTTATTTATGATTTAAAAGTCAAAAAAACTTAAAAGAATAGAATGAAAATAATAAATATTAATTAATTGGCACTAAAATGTTAATTCGCGTTTTTCTTCAATACCATTAATTTTAGTGACATTCAATAAGTATAGCTTTTTTGTGTAAAGATATTTCTGCATCATAATTTTAAGACAAAATGGGCACAAAGTTACCCGCTAAAAAGTTAATTTAAATCGGCATGTTTTGACTACAGAAATCTACCCTTAATAGGACACCCTGTATGTATTTCAGGTGCATTTTACGTAATGCGTGCTACCTACATCTTCTAGAATCATCTGATTTAAGGTATTGATTTTCCACCCTGGTAACCTTGAAATATGCCGGAAAAGCTTGCCACAATGATGATAAGAAAAAATTGTATAGGTAATGCCATTACAAAATTTTACATAAACTTTTATATTAATTTTTTATAAAACTTTGTATTATAAAATTTGGTATTGACATTATAAAGCAAATGTAAATAACTACTTTTTATAACTACTTTCTATGATTTTATTTAATTTTAATTAACAAAAACAAATTTTATAAAAAAAGTAAATTTTTGTGAATTTTTACTGTTTCTTTAAAATCCTTTATAAAAGCAAAATACAGTACTGTATAAGAACATTAAAGTTGTTTTTTTTAATTTTTGTTAAATTTATTGCAAATCGCCCCTAAAAACGCATACTTACCTTTAATTAAAATATAATGAAAACATACATAAACAAAACATGTTCTTACCACAATCCGGTGCCCGTCTTTCGCAGCCCTTGTATACTGATAATCGTACTTCGCCTCGATGTAATTATCTGAATAGGTGACGTTGGGGCTTTCCACGGTGATTTCCATCTCGAATTACCTCTGAAAACGTCTAAAAACACTCTTTCCGGCAACTGTCAAACGCTGTTTATTTCTGCTGCGAGTCGATGATCAGCTGATTGGCGCGAACGGAATGCGCGGTTTACAAATTTCGCTTCGTTTGAGTTTGGGCGTGCGAAAAATTTTCGGCGGCTCGAAAAATCGAAAATTTCTGCGATGTATTGCGTCTACCGTTGAACTGGTCGCGGCGACTGCTCGATTTTTTATTTATACGCTTTTTTTCAGGTTGGAAAACGCGCACCAGGGTATCCCCAATCGATATACGGGGGCGGATAATTAATAAATAAAAAACATTTTGTCGAATTTCATTGGGTTGGTATTAGGCGCGAATTTGTTTTCATCAAATTGGTAACGCTGTTTCTTGACAGTTGTCAAATAAGGTATTTTTGACAGTTGTCAAATTTTATTTTAATATTAAAACATATGTTATAAAGTCGTTGTTTAGTGCGTTTAGGATGTTTTAAAAACGTTAGGATACAATTATTGTTATTCTACAGGAAAAACTGAGTTTACCAATATGATCGAAGGTAAGGTGTTTAGTTTAAAATGTTTCAGGCATTGCCAAATTTTTTAAACTTAAATTTGTTAACTAATGTAACATAAAAGTTGCAACCTCATCTTTTTTGATACTTCGCGGCGCGAAATTACCCTGATGGAATTCGGAGAAACCCTGTATATCTATAGTTTGGTATATAGACCTAAGCGTTTTTTGAAAAACAAGTGAAAAATTACCAATAAATTTACATAAATATTTTTAATATTTAAAAACAAAAACAAAACTTATTTTTGACATTTTTTTAAAACACAATGAAATTTTTTAGAATTTATATTCATATTTGTTTTTTTGAATTTAATATGTTTAAATTAATTTTCGATAAGCAATTTCGTATTTCGACGTAATACCTATGCAAAATTTTCGTTAAAAAAGTCGTCACCGATAATTTTTATCGAATTAATTGGGGAAATCCTCCATTTTTTATATTTATTGAAGTATTCCAACACAAAGGCTTTACGAAATGTTATGTCAAATTATGCAGCTATCGCTGCAAACATTTCAGAATAATAATGCATTTTTTTATCATGAGAACGGTTTTAATGATAAAAAATACAAATTATCGACGTTTATTATACAGTAATTTATCTAAACCTGTTATAATCAAAGTTTTATTGCAAAAATGAGTATATATATATATATAGTTTGTAGGCCTGGTTTTATTTTATAAAGACATATTTTTGTAAAACCCCTGTAAGTACCTATAATGTTTTTTTTTATCGCAAACCTGATAAAATTTTTGTTCTAAATTTTCTACAGGTTGTTCATTCCATTACACGTAATAAGGAAAATGGGGATTTCTGTTACAAACTGTTAGTGACGTTAGTACATAACTTGTTCTACATTTTTATTATTTTAAACCTGTGTAATGAGAAACGTAATCAAGTTTAAGATAATTTGAAAAAATATATACCTACCAAGATATACCTACTAACTTTTCTGAAAATAAAAGTTATGGCCCAAAAATTAAAATTAAAGATAAGAAATTACTAAAAGTATTAATTAATTAATTAATAATGGTATAAGTAATAATGTATTTTTGGTTGCTATACTTGATACTTAATCGTTGTGTGAATTTAATATTTGCTGTTAATAATGGCAACCACGATTACAATAATAATGATTGTTCTAGAATTTATAAAAAATAAAAGTTTTTCAAGTTTCTGTTCACTTAGATAAAATAAACAGGGTGATTTATTGCGAAAAAAATACTTCTCCCTGCTAACGGACACCCTATATACATATACAGGGTGTCTCAGATTTTAATCGGGAAAATTTAGAGGACGATAGAAATCGCAAAAATAAGGGAAAAAGTTTATATGAACTTGTATGTTCCAAAGCTTTGTTTTTGAGATACAGGGTGGTTATAAAGTTAATAAAAAAATATGATCACAGATTAAGCAATTAAAAATACAACTTTTTGTGTCTCCAGCATTTTTCTCTATCTTGTCTAATTTTCAAGAAAAAAATTAAATTCTTTTATCCGCCAGTAACGAATACCAGAAAATCGCTTATTCTAAAAATAATAATAAACATTTAAAAATTTTATTTTTTTGGCTAAAAGGATTTATTAAATTCGACCAAGGAGTTTTTAAAATGAAAAAAATATATTTTTGTATTATATAATTTTACCCCCCTGTATATCGAAAACGAGCTTTAAAACATACACGTTCATATACCTAAACTAAAGTTCTAACTACTTTATTTTTTCGATTAAAATCTGAGACACCCTGTATACCTCTGCAATTAAGGCGAAGCAAAAAATACTAAAATTTTTAATTTAGACATAAAATATGATATTTATCTTTAATATCATATTGCTAATATCATAAACCAGATGCTAATAAACAATTAAAAATATTTTATGAAGTAATATATTTTTTATAATATAAATTTTATTGTTAAAACATTATAAACAGTTTAAAATAAAAAACCTACATACGCAAACTTAAAAATTCCCAATAAAAACAACATAAAATATATAATTTAAATTAAAATAATATAATATTATATTATAAACATTAACCCGTATAATGTGTGTGCTCGAACATAAAACCGACGAAGGCTGGGCGAGGAGAATATAATTAAATCCAGAGGGTATTTTGTATTTTAGCTTTAGAAAGAGGGGGCAGCAGCGGAATAATCAATAACGTACCACACGGCCCCCCCTGGGTAGCGTAGAAGGGCGCGGGCAACTTAGTCGTCTACCTACAGCCATCGGAGACTTTGCAGCCGGTAATTTGTGCCATTTTTACACTCTCGCCAGGTAAATAATACGATTTTATACGTAGATTGCACGTTTTTGACAGTTAGTATGTATGTAGTAGGCCTTGATGCCAAACAAAGCACAATCGACGCCGATACGCGATTGTTTATGTCCGATTTTTAGGTTAGTTTGGTTTGGGTTTCTGTGTACAGCTACCCTTAAATACCTACCTAGAATGTTTTGTCAGAATTACCATTAACAAACGTTTACATTTTATTTAAATTATTGATTATTATAAACTTTAATTCTTTAATAATATAAACAGCCCAGAACATTTATTTTTGTACCTCTAATTTTAGAATACAATATACCTAATTAAATAACAATAAAACATTTAATATTTTCTTCCCACTACATACATAAAATAAAACTGTTACCTGTTGTATAGACTCTCATTTGTAAATTTACCTGTAATTATTATTATTTATGCAAAATAACTTTATCAGTATAAATACATTGTTTATATTTATCAAACAGAATTTTTACTTGGGTACCTACTTAAAAAAAGATATTATTTACAGAGGGCTCTTTTTTAAAAGGGAACCATACGAACATCTGCCATCATTTATTTTTATAGATATCTAGATATACCCCCTATACCAACATGTTATTTTACAAAGTATTTTAAACTTGTTTAATACATAAAATAAATATTTGGTTCGCGTTAAAAATAATTTTATGTTTTTTAAGTTAAAACAATTTCATACAACATTATATTTTGAAGGTCGCTGTATTTTTAGCGTTTTGTCAATTAATTCATTCGAAATATGATAATAATTAGTAGGTATGTTTTAAATGTCGACAATTTTTATTCAATTAAAAAAAATATTTTTTCTAAATTTCTCGATTTTGATTCACAACAGGAATAAAATTTAAACTTGTAAAAATAGAAGCCTTGTTGCCATTTCGCACCCCTCCCTTTCCACCCCAGTTTCGTTATTTTTAGAAAGGGGGATCGACGGCCAATTACGCGAAAGGACTCGCCCCCCTCTTTGTGGATTTTAAGGGAGACATGTCCCCTTGATATACTTCGTTTTGTACCGTTTTTTATAATTTTTAAAATTAAAAGTCTAATATTTAAGTTAATTATTTTATTGCATATCGAAGAGCGTACAAATTTTACATCTGGTAACGTTTCTCAAATCTAAAAGTGTGTTTTTAATTATCGTTTTAATACGTCTTCCTAAATTTTTACACGATTTTTGATATAATTTTATATTTTTAATAAAGCTCTATAAATTGCGAATACAAAGATATATAACTTGTCATACTTACCTTAATATTAAGGCTAATAAATGTCAAAATCAATGTTTCGTTGGTAGGCCATGATATTTTGTTTTTGCTTTATAACTTAAGTTACAAATAATTATTTGTTTTTAGAGCAAAATATGTCAAGTCACAAAGGAAATTCGATTTCCTATCGATTAAAATCAACGGATTTCTTGATATTTCGTTTTTCCTTTATAATTTATTTGTTTTTAGATAAAAATATGTCGAGTCACCAGAGCTGCAACAAGTCAGTTTTAAAAAGACTTAAATCTTAAGTCTTAAGTCAATTCTAAAATCAAAATGATTTAAATCTTAAGTCAATTCTAAGATAAAGTTCAAATGATTTAAGTATTAAGTCTTTGAATTAAATCATTTTCTTTCAAGTCAAGTCATTTTCGCAAATTCTTAAATCAATATAAAGTGATTTAAGTCATCTTATGACTTAATAAAGTAAGTCGTTTTTATGACTTAAGTCTATATTTTTTATTTAAATCGTGATCTACACTATATAGTGGTTTATTATCATCTGTACTGCAATAGATTAATAATATCAGTATCATTAATACCATAAAATTATTATTAACATTTAAAAAATCGTTGTATTGACTTAAGGGTAATTATTTAGATTTAAATCACAATTTTTGATTCAAGTCATTTTATTGACTTAACTCTTAGATCACGATTTAAATAAAAAATATAGACTTAAGTCATAAAAACGACTTACTTTATTAAGTCATAAGATGACTTAAATCACTTTATATTGATTTAAGAATTTGCGAAAATGACTTGACTTGAAAGAAAATGATATGTTAAGAATTTAAAACGATTTATTTTTAGAATACTTAAAAACAAAATAAAAACTTAAAACACATTTTTTGAGTATATATTAGACAATAGAAATAAAAACTTAAACCACCTTTTTTGTTAGAGTAGACATACAGGGAGGCTACTTTTTTATATACATAAATGGGTAACTTCTAAACGGTAATAGATTCAAACTCTGTAATGATGGGAAGTTCCAAACTCTCGATTCACGACCGCTCAGATGGTTTTCACTTTGCACTAATAATCACAAATTAGACATAACTACGCACGAACATGACGAATGTTGGCAAACAAAATAACAAAATTATAAATCCCCACTTTTTAATTCATTTTAGACAGGACATTTTTTAATGTAGTCGTCAAACGGTTCCAAAAAGCTAACTTTACCGCGGCGGTTTTTTTATCCACTAGCGGTAACAATTGTAGGTAGGAAATTAAAGGAGTTTTTGATCTGCTGCCGCGTGAACCCCTGGCAGTTCAAAAGAAAATGCTGCTGTTAAAAATTTATAAAAAAATATATGAAAAATCTGACTTAAATATTTTCTAAAAAGACTTAAATCTTTTTCAAAAAGACTTAAATCTTTTTTTGACTTAAATCGTTTCTATCTGACTTAAATCGTATGTACTGATTTAAGCCTTTTATAAATGACTTATGTTTTTTCTATTTTGAAAAAAATATTTAAGTCACAAATCGTTTTGAAAATTACTTAAATTTTAAGTCCTAAGTCAGTTTTAGAGAAATGACTTATTACCAAATGACTTAAGTCATTAAAACGATTTAAATAAAAAAAAACGATTTAAGTTTTCTGAGAGCTTGCAGCTCTGCGAGTCACATATCGTTTTAAAGAAAATTTGAATTCCTATAGGTTAAAATCGACGGATTTTTCTAAACTTTATTTAAGTATTATATTTAATACGTTTTCGTAATTTTTTTCGCGAATTTTGATATCATTGTATATTTAACAGGTTGAATGCCACGGCGGGCACTTATGACTGCTCTTATACTAGTTGGCAGTGCCACAGCGGTCATAATGACCGCTTAAAACCCAAATATAAAAATTAGTCCTACTCTGCCATTGCATCGGTCACGCGGGATTTGTGTATACTATAGGACCGCCCGGGCACCAGAGGTAGTGCTGGATAGCGATAGCCCAACTTTCAAGTTTGAGTACCAATGGCACCAGGATTTTTTTTTAATTCATACAATGGCAGTTAACCTGTTAAATTAAAGCCCTTTAAATTGTGAATACAAAGATATATAACTTGTTATACTTACCTTAATATTAAGGCTAATAAACGTCCAAATCAAATTATCGTTGGTAGGCAGTAATATTTCGTTTTTCCTCTATAACTTATTTGTTATTAGAGAAAAATATGTAGAGTCACATATCATTTTAAAGAAAATTTGATTTCCTATACGTTAAAATGGACAGAAACTTTATTTAAGTATAATGTTTATTTAATACGTCTTCGTAAATTTTTTACATTTACATTTTATATTCAAATTAAAGCTCCTTAAATTGCGAATACAAAGATATATAACTTGTTATACTTACCTTGATATTAAGTCTAATAAACATCAAAATCAAATTATCATTGGTAGGCCATAATATTTCGTTTTTCCTTTATAACTTGTTTGTTTTTAGAGCAAAATATGAGTCACATATCGTTTTAAAGGAAATTCGAATTCCCATCGGTTAAAATCAACGGAACACAAAATTGTGTCTACTACATTAGACATTATTCGTCGCAGATGAAGCAGCCCAAAATGACGCGTTTGCTCACGGAGCGCCATCTGGAGAGAATCGGCGAAATGCTGCAAACACTCTTGGAGGAGGAGGAACTCACCGATGTCACGTTGCACTGCCGCGACGGCACGATAAAGGCGCACAAGCTCATGCTGGCGGCCAGCAGCCCGTATTTCAGGAGGATTTTGGTGGAGCACAACAAGGAGAACGTCGCCTTGATTATGCACGGGATAAGCAGGGAGAAATTGAGGAAAATAATCGAGGTCATTTATTACGGGTCCGCAGAGATCCAGGGGGAATCCGCGGATGCCATGTGCGACCTGATAGACGAGTTCGACTTGAACGGTGTCATGGTCACAGAAAGTGTAAGTATACCTTTTTTTTATTAGCACAAATATTAAAAAAAAATTAAAAAATAAGAATGGAACAAAAAACACAAAAATAGAAAAAATAAATCAAAAAGTATTTACTTTTTAATTAAAAAAAAAAAAAAAAATTAAAGCCCTTTAAATTGCGAATACAAAGATATATAACTTGTTTTGCTTACCTTGATATTAAGGCCAATAAACGTCCAAATCAAATTAACGTTGGTAGGCCATGATACTTCGTTTTTCCTCTATAAATTATTTGTTTTTATAGCAAAATATGTCAAGTCACATATCGTTTTAAAGGAAATTCGACTGCCTATCGATTAAAATCAACGGATTTTTTTAAATTTGAATTAAGTATTATATTTCATACGTTTTCGAATTTTTTTACACTATTTTTGATCTAAATTTTAATTAAGCATTACATATATTTAATACGTTTTCGAAACTTTATTACACGATTTTTGATAACATTTTATATTCAAATTAAAGCCCTTTAAATTGCGAATACAAAGATATGTAACTTGCCATGGTTATCTTGACATTAAGGCTTATAAACATCCAAATCAAATGATCGTTAATGGGCCATGATATTTCGTTTTTCCTCTATTTAATTTGAATATAAAATATTATCAAAAATCGTGTAAAAAGTTACGAGAACGTATTCAATATAATACTTAATTAAAAGTTAGAGAAATCCGTTGATTTTAAGAGATAGGAAATCAAGTTATAACTATTAATTAAGTATTATATTGAATACGTTCTCGAAACTTTTTTACACGATTTTTGATAATATTTTATATTCAAATTAAAGAACTTTAAATTGCGAATACAAAGATATATAGCTTGTTATACTTAGCTTGATATTAAGGCTAATAAACGTCCAAATCAAATTAACGTTGGTAGGCCATGATATTTCGTTTTTTCTTTATAACTTATTTATTTTTAGAGCAAAATATGCCGAGTCGCATATTGTTTAAAAGGAAATTTGATTTCCTATATGTTAAAATCAACGGATTTCTCTAACTTTTAATTTAGTATTATATTAAACGCGTTCTCGTAACTTTTTTACACGATTTTTGATAACATTTTATATTCAAATTAAAGCCCTTAAAATTGCGAATACAAAGATATATAACTTGTTATACTTACCTCGATATAATATTATAAAAAATTAGGTATTTAACTCAAACAAAATTCAGCTCATTTTAGCATATACCCCTTATGTTCTTTTTAATGGGCCCATTTATAACTTTTTTTACTCATACAAAAAAAGTTAAAAAGTTTGCCTTTTTTTTAAAAGCTAAAAATAAAAGGTAAACTTTTTAAAAATAAAAATCGCTTCGAGGGGTATATGCCAAAATAAGCTGAATTTTTCATAACTTCTAATAATTTTGAGATAGTATTCACGAAAAATATTTCTGTATAAATTATGAAACATTTTGTGGTTAGGGGCCCTAACTTAGGGCTCGTAAATATTAAACATAAGCCATTTTTGCTTAACATGGCAACTGCACTTAGAACCCTCTCATTCTAAGGTACCTACCCATATAGTAATAATTTTTTGTGTAAAACTTGAATAGTAACCTTAAACAAGCACGTAATTTAAATGCACAAATATTGTATACTTAATTTTCAAAAATTTTCTCAAAATGTAACGGGTGCGACATTTGAACATTTTATCAAGTATTGAAACTGTTCCGTGTTTATTCTTAATGTTAGCTTCTTAGCCATATAATTACATATATGCTTCTTAGCATCACAATGTACGAATACTTTAAGGTTATAAATTACGTCGCAATTAAACTATTTGCCTTCAGATATAATTGTTATTTTGTAATAAGACGTCTGATTTTTTGTAAAGGTGGGGTAAGGTTTCGTGGAAATACCCTAAAATCAACGGATTTATTAATTAAGTATTATATTGAATACGTTCTCGTAACTTTTTTACACGATTTTTGATAACATTTTCAACATCATTCAAATTAAAGCCCTTTAAATTGCGAATACAAAGATATATAACTTGTTATACTTACCTTGATATTAAGGCTAATAAACGTCCAAATCAAATTAACGTTGGTAGGCCATGATATTTCGTTCCTCTGTAACTTATTTGTTTTTAGGGCAAAATCTGTCGAGTCACATATCGTTTTAAAGGAAATTCGATTTCCTATCGGTTAAAATCAATGGATTTCTCTAACTTTTATTTAAGTATTATATTGAATACTTAATTACACTATTTTTGATAACATTTTATATTCAAATTAAAGCCCTTAAAATTGCGAATACAAAGATATATAACTTGTTATTCTTATCTTGATATTAAGGATATTAAATAAAAAAAACAAAAGAAAAGAAAAACATAAAAACCCTAAAAAAATCTTCTAGTTTTAAAATCTTGCTTTTCTTCGTTTAGACCGAAAAGGAAGAGAAAATGAACGGGCACGGCAGGGACACAAGGTTCAAGGGTCAAAAAAGGGTGGCCGTCGATTTTACTCACTCGGACAATGAGGGCGCGCCGGCCAAAATCAGCAAAAACGACAGGATCAGCACCGACAAAAAAAGTCCGGAGAAAAAATCGCCCGGAAAAAGTTCCCCGGATAAAAGTTGCGCGGAGATGAGGAAACAAGGTTTTTTTTTTCACGCAAATCGATTAAATTTGGGAAAATACATTTTTTTTATTTTAGATTCGGATTCGGCTTCCGGGTCCAGTGGTTGCGCGGATATAAACGAATTTTGCGTTATTAAAAAGGAGGAAATAGTTACTTTTAATGATGATGAAATGCTGAATATTCCGACGGAATCCAAGTTGACTTCATGGGACAAAAAACCCAGGAAGTTTGTGTGCACTTTATGCCCCAGCAGGTAGAAATAAATTTATAAATAAAACTGCAAAAATGTTTTATATATTTTTTTTAGTTTTAAGAGGGCTTCACATTTGACGCGCCATCAGCTTGTGCACACTGGGGAAAGGCCTTACGCTTGCGAACATTGCGATAAAGCTTTTTCCAGGCACGACAAGTTAAAAAATCACGTAAGAAAAAATCACGACTTGGAGGGTGATTTTATTTCGAAAGAAGACGTCATAAGTGGAGATACGCAATATGTAAGTAAAAAATGATTTATTTTCAAATTTCCAATTGAACACCCTATATATTTTTTGAGCAGATTCGAATCATTCGACTTAAAATAGGTAGATTTTTAAAAAAAATTTCTTAAATAAAACGATGGTGCTGTAATAAAAAAAACAATTTTGTTTGATTTTTCTTCTGTATACGATTCTGCAATAATTTTTCTATAAAATACTTGTTGGTTGTTAATGTTAATATACAAATTTAGCTCAAAACAATTTGTATTTTTTGAATTTTTATTAAAGTAGGTGCTCAAAGTGGTGGCCTTCGACTTAAATGCACTGTGTTACATTTTTTCAAAAAAATTATAAATTTTGAAATAATATATTAGCAATTAAAGTGCCGTATTCTCTACGTTTTTAGTTGTTCTATCTAAATTGTAAAATTAGTACAGTTTAGCATATAGGATAACGATTTTATAAGTCGAAATGTGTGCGTTTCGGGTGTTTCACGATTCTGTCCCTATGTCCTGACCATTGTTACATTTATTTGAAATTCAGCAAATTTTCTTAGGGTAACATTCCTAAAAATTACAGGCCTCCAAAAGTATAAAATTTACTAACCATCTACCACATAATCACTGTCGTAAATAACGTTTTACTATTTTTTTTTATAAAATTTTACTTAGTTTCGGGTGTTACCATGGTTCTGTTTCGGGTGTTACAAGTACAAAAATTGAACATTTTATATGGACAACATCGGTGTTTTATTAGTCTCTAAGTACCACAAAATAAGTAAGTAACAAATAAACATAACTTAAGCAGCTTCGGGTACAATTAATAAATAGGCAAAAAGAGTAAAACTGTTATTATTGCCAGAAACTCCAGTAATGCATGTTGTGCCAATTTACCGTTCCGTGGTTCGTAAAAGACGACTCGTCTGAGAACAATACGATATGGAAAAAAATTGGGTTTTGTTGTATTTGTTCACTTGCCAACTGACAAAAAATAACTCGATTTTAAAAATCCGAACCATGAAGCTCTTGATCATATCTTCAATGAAAAAGTCACAATATCACTTTTGGGTCTTTCCATCTCAAATCGACCAAGGAAAAAGGGGTGGGTCGTTACTTTTCAACGAATTTTCTGTACCGAAATCGATGAGAGCCGTATTTTTTCTTTTTGCTTAAATTTGTTTTACTTACCCGTAGGAAAGTTTTGAAAAATGGACAGAAATATCGATTTTTTTTTGCATTTGACATTTTTTCTTTGAATGTTTACTACATACAAAAAATATATAAAAAATTATGTGAATTCACACAATTTTTTTTAAATTGTTTTTTCTAAAAAAGGTAAAAAAAATTGAGGTCAAAATTTTGACATTGCAACATTTTTTTTACTTCATATTTTGTTTCGTTTGAAGTTGATAATATGATCAACTTTCACCAAAAGTCCCGAGTTGGCTAAATTCGTCGTTTCGGAATTATAATTTTTTAATGAAAATGCATTTTTTTTTCCTTTTTTAGAAAAAACAATTTAAAAAAAATTAATGAATTTACTTACTTTAAAATAAAATTGTAACGATCTAAAAATTTTTGGCCAAGTTTTGGCATTTTCAATAAAAAATGTCACTCGTAAAAAGAGAAAAATCAATGTTTCTGTCCATTTTTCAAAAATTTTCTACGGGTGAACAAAAAAAATTTAAGCAAAAAGAAAAAATCGATTTCGGTAGAGAAACTGTACAAAAAAAATCGTTAAAAAATAATAACCTACCCTGCTTAAAATACCCCATACAAAATAATCTATCGGGCGCTGCCGGATTCAATATGTGCATTTGTCCATGTTTTTTTCCGGATACAGCCCGATAGAAAATGTATAGGAAATTACCTATAGGCACACCATATCTTTTAAATTTTCCCTATTGAGACCGATAGCAAATAACTCAATGAAGGATATATAGGGATATCCCTATAGAGCAACCATAAAACATTTGACAAAATTTTATTAAAACCTATGGGGTCCTATAGGGGAAAACCTAATTTCTACATTTATGTGTGTTTTCCCCATTGAAACCGATAGCAAATAAATCAACGGTGGATATCCCTATAGAACAACCATAAATCTCAACTATGGCTCCTATACAAACCGATACACCCTATAGAGCATACGGATACAAATATCTATCGGTTTGAACAGGGTCTCTATGGGGTATTTTAAGCAGGGTACCCCTTTTTGACTGGTCGATTTGAGATGGATGGAAGGCCCTTTTATATTTTTATTGAAAAATTGTTGCAGAATGGTATGCAGAGGAGAAATCGAACAAAATTGATTTTTTATTACAGCGCCATCTTTTACAAAAATGTTTTAGGCAAAATCTACCTATTTTTAGTCGAATGATTCGAATCTGCAATAAAAAATAGGGTGTTCTATTGGAAATTTTAAAGTTACCCCATGCCCTCCCTATAAGGATGAAAGTATGGGGAATAATTTTGGTACTAATTTTTCCTTCCTTTAAATCATAAATGTTTATTTTTTCGTAAAATGCCTTCAGTTAATTTTTTTTATTTGGACTCTTGTTTTTTTATTGATTTGGTAGCTTATGCCAGTTTGATTTAGTATTTAAAAAATGGTACTTCTGCTGAAGACTTTATAGTGTCAGAATATTTAATTATAATTAAATACACTGTCAAATTGACAGTATAATATTTATTATTGATATTTTACTTGTTAATTATTATATAATATCGATATAAAAAGATAGCTACGCCAAAAATAATATCAGATTCTAAAGTAAAAGAACTTTTAAGGGCACCGCCTTATGTACATTTTTGGAGTAAAGAAGTAACGTTTTTGGTTTTACAAATATTAAATCACACATTATTTTCAGATCAAAAAATTTTCAAATTTTAAAAAATAAGGGGGAAATAAAAAAACAAAAAATAAAAATTATTTGCTCTTCTTTGTGAAAAATCTAGTAGTTAATTTTTCTGTCTTTGAAAATAGCATCCATTTAGTTTGAAAAAAATAAGCAATAATCACGAAACTTTTTCTTCTTTCAATTTGCAAGTTACTGATCATTAATAGTCCTGGACAATATATACATTATAATTATTATTAAGCCACTACAAGTATTAACGTCCAGTAACTTTAACAAAATATCCATTCACCATTGGAGTCCAATGATTGGATAACATTCACGTGTGTTCACATAAAATTTAAATTTATTTTATATAAATTCTTTTCAAAGCGAAGATTATTATCCGCTATAGCGGATAATAATCTTCGCTATAGGAATACTTTGTCTCTCCTGGGCCCTAGTCACAATTATTTAACTATTTTTTTTATATGATTTTACTCATCTACACACCACCAACTCCAAATTAATTGCATTTTTAAATACAAATTTTGACAACTCAACTTGACAACCTTTCAATGTAACCTACAATAATTTAAACATAACCACAATTACATTACAATGGCGTTTATCATAATGTCTAGAGTCCCGTCAGACGGGTCTCCATTGCGCTCCCGTTAAAACTTTGTGACGTCACACACTGTAAATAGGTATTATTTTTCGAGCGATAGAATTATTACAATAAGCTCGGTAGCTCGATGGAAGGGCGCCTGCACTCAAAAAAATATTTAGTAAATTTACACATCTGATCGTTGGTTATTTTGATGCCACGTATTTAAATGTATATGTACAAATATACTGTAAAACTACATATAATGTGTAAAAATAAAGGTCATGTAAATCTAAAATAATAGTACAAGTACATTAAAAATTGTAAAAGCACATAAATTTAAGGATTTATTACATAATAATATGAAAAACTACATATTAATTTAAAAAAATACATAAATTGATGCTATTTTACTTATGTAAGTATGTGTGTACATGTTTTATATGGAACAACACATTTCTTAAGTAAAAAAACAGAAATAAATGTGTGTTTGGATGTGTAAAATTTCGTAAATTTTTTTCAGTGTGCTTTGCATGCGGGAGGTACGGGGTTCGATTCTTCGCGCCTCTACAACTTTTTTAATTTTTTTTTAAAGAATTTATATACCGAAATAATACAATGGGGCATTAAAAGCATTTATATTTAATTTTACATTAATATTTTAATTTATTTACCTTTCCTCATAATCATTTTGCTAGTTATATAATATAAAATGTAATTAAATGAATATTCCTTCGTTGAAAAATTTTTACTCAATGGGGCGGGGGGGGCCAATGGGGCGGGGTCAGTTGGGTTGGGTTGTTGGGTTTGGGTTGGTTTTGAAGCGGGCGGACTCGAGACGTTGGTTAAGGAAGATCTGCTTCCCGTCCTAAGATTGCGTCATTTGATGACGTCACTCTGTTAACGGGAGCGCAATAGAGAACCGTCTGACGGGACTCTAGACGCGGCGTACATTTATTACAATTATTTAACTATTTTTTTTATATGATTTTACTCATCTACACACCACCAAATCCAAATTAATTGCATTTTTAAATACAAATTTTGACAACTCAACTTGACAACCTTTCAATGTAACCTACAATAATTTAAACATAACCACAATTACATTACAATTACATTTAGTTTAGTTTGTTTTAATCAAAGCAACCAATTTTGGTTCCGTATTTACCACAGGTCTGTGGTATTTACCAACCAAACGCTAAATTTGCAAGGTTGCCGCGGTCCAGATAAAAAATTTACTGAGATATTTCAAAGTTTCAAGTTAAAAGACGTCGGGAGTCTTAAATTCTCTGTTATTTCCAGAGCATCGGTACGGTCCGAATGCCTTCCCCCCCAATAAAACAAAACAGATCCGAAGAGTCCTACGACGACAATCACACCTTGTACGCTTCCAATTTTTCGCACTTGGTCCCCATACTGCCCAAGCTCAATCCGGAAGTGACAATCTTGAAGGCGCAATCCATGCTGAAAGAAGCGATCAACAAATCCTTCAAACAGGTCGCGAGCAGTTCCCCCAACGTTAGTAACTTAAGCAACGCTAGTGACGTTAGCAACGTTAGTAACACTAGCAGTAACACGTCGTTTGGTGCCAACGGAACGCCCAAGAAGGGCAGGGGACGACCCAGAAAGTATCCACCACGTAAGCAACTCATTTGCGAATATCTTCGATACTGGTCGGCGGATTTCAATTTTTTTGGTGCGAAATTATAGGCGACTAAATTCTCTATCATTTATATATTTAACATTTTCATGTCTAAATATTGGTTTACTAGCTATTTAGGAAGTTATGGACGTCTTAGCTTCATTTGTTAAATCGCCAATGACTTCTTCAATTGCTGATGAACCGAAAATGTTAAAAATATTAATGATAGAGAATTTATTCACCTTCAATTTCGTGCCAAAAAACGAAAATCCCCCCACTGGTATAAAAGATAATTTCAATTAAGTAAAAACATGTTTTTATGTTTAGCTCCTCCACAACTGGTGAAGAGACCTAGAGGACGACCACGACTTAACCCTCTAAGTAATAACCCCAAAAATGTGCAAAAAACATTAAACTAACATTTCTTTGTATTTTTGAAGGCGCATCTCCACAAATTCCCGGCAGGATCGGTCCAAATTACGACATCACAAATCTTCCTTTCGGCGACTTGGAGTATCTGACGAAACCCCTCAGGGAAATGGAACAGTCCATGGAAGACCCCATCATAGAACCATACGTGGAAATAAAAACAGATGAAACCGATGCGGAAGAAAAAAAAGAAGAAACCCCCAAGTTTTTGGAACCTGAAGTTTCGTTGCAGGAAAACCCAAAAGAGAAGGAGGAGGAAAAAACACTCGACGATAGTTTATCGTTTTTGACGGGGATCGGTTTGTGCGAGAAAAAACACGGAACAATCGGGGAGTGCACAATATCAGTATCAAATTAGTTTACGTTGTAAATATGTTTTTAACATAGCGAATTTTAACTTTTATTAATAAGAATTATGTACATATTTTATCTATAGAATAAAACTCAATTTTAACTTCCAAGATTCGTTTTTATTCATACATTTTCAAAAATAATTATAAAGGATGAAATTCATCAGCGGATGCGGAATATTTTAAGGCTCACAGAATGCGGATGCTAAAATTAATGTGGAAGATCAATTTTAACTTTAAATATTTTCAAAAATAATTATATACGATAAATTTCACAGGATGCGGATGCTGAAATTAATGCGGAAGTTCCGCAAATATTATACAATAAAAGTCAATTTTAACTTCCAACATTCGTTTTTATTCAAACATTTTCAAAAAAATTACAAAGGATGAAATTCATCAGCGGGTGCGGAATATTTTAAGGCTCACAAGATGCGGATGCTAAAATTAATGCGAAAGTTCCGCAAATATTATAAAATAAAACTCAATTTTAACTTTCAACATTTTCAAAAATAATATAAAGGATAAAATTCACTGGATGCCGATGCAAAAATTAATGCAGAAGTTCCGCAATTATTATACAATAAAACCACAAATATTATAGAATAAATCTCAATTTTAACTTATATTCGTTTTTATTAAAACATTTTCTAAAATAATTTTTAAAGATGAAATTCATCAGCGGATGCGGAACTGTTCAAGGCTCACAGAATACTGATGCTAAAATTAATGCGGAAGTTCCTCTAATATTATAGAATAAAACTCAATTTTAACTTTCAACATTCGTTTTTATCGAGGGGTCACCCACACCTGGGAATCCCTGGACATTTTAGAGGGGGAATACCATAGGAATACAATGGAAATACATAGGAATACAATAAAATATAATGGAAATACATGGGAATCCCTGGACGTTTTCCCTTTGGGTGGTTGACCACTCGGTTTTTATTAAATTTATTTTTAAAAAAATATTACAAAGGATGAAATTCATCAGCGGGTGCGGAATATTTTAATGCTCACAGAATGCGGATGCTAAAATTAATGCTGAAGTTCCGCAAATATTATAGAATAAAGCTCAATTTTAACTTCCAAAATTCGTTTTTATTCAAACAATTTTAAAAATAATTATTAAGGATGGAATTCACAGGATGCGGATGCTAAAATTAATGCGGATGTTCCGCGACTGCGGATGCGAATATCTGCCACCTCCCCGATGAAATATAAAAACAATATACATATTCATACGTAAAATTCTAAAACTTAATAATCTTATTAGGTTTAGATTTACCACCCAAACCATTGCCCTTAAAGTCTTCCCCCCCATTCAAATCATCAGGGTTCCCCCCCTTCCAGGCCTCCAACTTGAAGTTCTCCCCAAATGCCTGCTGTTGCGACTGAAACTTGGGGCAATCTTTCTTCAGATGCGTCACATCCCCGCACACGTTACAAGCCCCCCCTTTGGGGTAGAGCCCCCTCGCGTTGTCGGGGCACTGTCGGGCTATGTGTCCCTGCTCGTTGCAAATGAAGCAGGACGCGAATTTGAATTCCTGCCCGCGGACCACTTTGCATTCGAAGTGAGTGTGTTCGGTGGAGCCGCACTTAAAACATATCCCAGAACCGCTGGTTTGGGCAACCTGATTTTTGTCCAGTTCCGGACACTCGGAAAGGTTGTGACCGGATTTTCGACAGTTAAAACACACCTGAAATGAAAAAGAAATTGTTGTTCTTCAACTCTTCACTCGGTTTTTCACAAATATTTACCTTCTTTTTCTCCCTGGCGAAAGCCTTTTCTGCTTTCCTCCTCTCTAGTTTCATGGCAACGTTAATTTCGCTCCTTGGCAGCCCCTTGCTTATCATTTCTCTCCTCAATTGTTTCAACCTCTCCGCATCTTCTTTTTTAACCGGAAAACCGTCCACATAATCCACATCCACTTCTTTCCCATTGATCATCATTCTTTTAGGTAAGGGAGCCTTTTTCCTCGGGTGTTCTTCCTTATCCCGTGGTTTGCCGGGTTTTTTGTTTGGATTGTTGGCATTACTGGATTTTTTCGGGGCGCCAAATTTGTATTCATGATTATTATTATCAATTATTGCATTTTCTTCCTTGGCTTTAACACCTTGAAAACTCTCATTATTATCAATTACACCATTCTGCAAATTCTTCTCTTTCTCCTCCTTCAACAGCTGCTTCTTCAACTTCTTCCTCTCCAGCTGCTTGACTTTCTTCTCCTTCTTCCTCTCAATCTTTGCTTTATCTTCCTCAGTTAAATCTTCCTGTTTCTTCATAACTTTCACCTTTTTTTCTTTGGGTTTTTCCCCTCCTTTCAGTTTTGTCTTGGGTTGCTTTTCTTCTGTATTTTCGCTTACTTTCTTCAATTCAAAGAGCTTCTGTTTCTTCTTTTGTCGTTGCTGCTGCCTTCTTTCCTTCTTCTTTGCCAATTTTTTCTGTTCTTCAGTCATGTTTTCAAAATTTTCTGTTGCTTCTGTTTCTTCAGCTTTCTTTGTTTCCACTTCTATGTCTTCATTCATTGTTTGTTTGCTGGCTTGTTTTTTATTCTTCTTTTTAATGTCACCATTTGTATTTACTTCTAATTTCTTCATTTTCGGTTTTATGGGCACTTCTGTATCTTCATTTTTTGGTTGTTTTTTATTCTTTTTTTTAATGTCACCATTTGTAAAATTTTCTATACCTTCTTCAAATTCCTTCTTTTTGGGCTTTTTGACCACTTCTGTTTCTTCATTAGCTTCTACTTTCTTTTGTTGCTTGTTTGTTGTTTTATCACTATTCTGTTTTTTGTTATTTATTTCTGTACTTTCTTCCAATTTCTTCTCTTTGTCCGTAACAATTTTAAGCAATTTCTTCTTAGGTTGTTTAGCCTTTTTTTCCTGTGTTAAATTTTTAAGAATTGCAGGTTTCTTTACATCACCATTCAATTGTTTATCCAGTATTTTATCCAGCTGAGATTTTAAACCAAGAAATTCCTCATCATTCTCATCATCATCATCGTCAACTTTAAATCCCTTTTTCTTTTTCCCATTTAATTCTGTTGTATTCTTAACAGCAAGCTCAATTTTACCCTTAACTTTTTTATTATTCACCTTGGACTTACTGTCGATCTTGGTAACCCCTGGAAAATCGGCCCACTTGGTGTTCTTCAGCTCTTCTTCCTCCTTATCGTCCAAAAACTTCTTGTAGTTCGCGTCGCGCTGAATTTTCGCCACCGCAAGCTTTTTATTCGTTTCGATTTCCTTACTTTTCTGTTCCAACTGTTGCTTTATTTCGCCCCATGACGTGGCTTCTTCGGGGAGTCGTTCGTTGGAGGATTTCGAACCTTTTGCCCTAGCAAATCTCGTCATTTTTTGTAGAAATATCCGCGATTTTTCTTAGGTTAACATGCGTGTTTTTTTTGGTTATGTTTTGACAGGCAACGAGTGGTGTAGTTTGGGTTGCCTAAGGTCTGTTCGTGATCCGCCAGAAAGTGGAACGTGTGCACTCACATGGAGCTAAAAAGGCGTATGAAAAATTGGATGAAGAATGAAAAAATATTAAGTAATAAAGGGCAAAAGATCATTTTTGTTTATTTTTAGCTTAAAAATTTTCTTTTTTCTCCATTATTTTTTCAAATTCGCAAAATTGCAGGAGTTAAAAGTAATCGGCTTTAATTTGTTCGAATGTAGGCAACCCAGATTACAAATCGAAAATACTGCATACTGCGCTCATTAAAAGTTAAATAACTCAATTTTGAAGCAAAGGTAGTGTCAGTATTTGGAATAATTTCGTCATACACAGTTAACTAAAAAATTTAAATTTTATTTTACACCTTTTGCACTTTTTGGTTTGTCAACTACCTATAAATAATTCTTATAAAATTAAACATATTAGATTAATTAATGTAATTAATGTTTTAAATAATTTTATATTTTCTAATAAACAAAAAATGTTGGCTTCTATTGAACTTTTAAAGCTATCTTTAAGTATCGAGCATTAGATTCACATACTTCCAAGTACTATGCTCCACACTTCAAAGTCCCACCACGTGACCACGTACGGAACGCAGTCTTTTGATAATTTGTCATTTAAGGCTTTTCAGGTTATGTATCTGTCAAAGTATAGTCAATGAAAGAAACAGTGTTGCCAATCAGCGGAGAATTCTCTACCGTTGATTGACGATTCTACTATAATATTCGACTATAATATTTTACTAAATTTACAATATTTTCATAAAAAAAGAATATTCATTTTTGTTTGTTACTGATTTTATGATGCGGAGAATTTGACCGAAAAGCGGAGAATTTTGTTGGGATAGGCGGAGAAAATATCCATATGCTGTTGGCAACACTGGAAAGAAATAATATTTATACTGTTACCGTTTATGTTTAAGCGTTAAAAGTTTATAAATCTTTATAGTATCACAGTAACAATAGTTGGTTTAAGAGTTTAGGAGTATAAATACTGCATTTAATGAAATTCTAAAGTGTATAGTGCCAAATAAGTAAAATTTTTGTGCATTTGGTCTACATAATATGTTAATATATTATATCTGGTTTTATCCATAAAATAGTTTTAACTAAACGGCATTTATTAAAAAAATCTAGCTTCTTTATTATGGAATAAGAATATCTGTATCAAAGGTAGGTTAATATATTATAACAAAAAATATCTAATTTTGAAATTTTAAGGTTAGAAAAATCTATTTTGATCAAAATAAATAAGTATTTTGGATTATTTGGAAGAGTGTGTTAATATGGTCATATAAATATAGATATACTAAATAATTGTTGAATATGGTTCAAATTAAATGAAAGCTTTTATACTCGTAACAACAAAACTTGTGCATACATCTCGGGATCCCTACTTTAAGTTACATCATAAGGAAACAAACAATTTTTAGGGATACATGCAATGTAAAAATATTTAATACTCCCATAACATGTAATTTTTGAAATTCTTAAAAGTTATAATGATTTTTTGATGAAGATAAAATTCAGTTGAAGCTTTATATGTAATTGTATTGACAAAACTTTATGTAGGTATACTTTAAGCTGGATAAGAAAGACTACTACAAGTAAAAATATTAGATAGAGTACAATTTGGACCACTTAAACATAAACAGACAGAGCTATATTCTCCAATATGCTGACGACACAGTTTTGATAACGCATGGAAAAACGACATCAGAAGCAAGTGTGAAACTACAAGAACTAACCAATCATGTATCGTCATGGATGTCTAAATGGAGAATCCTACCAAGTCCGTCAAAATCACGCCTACTACTGTTCCATCACAAAATAAAAGAAAATTCGCCCACAATAAATATTATGCAAAGTACAGTGAAACCATCAACATCATGTCGTTACCTGGGAATTTTGATAGACACTAAGTTAAACTTCAAACAACACACAAGCCACACCAAGACATGTATTATAAACAGGGCCAAGCACTTTAGAAGCTTAACTTATAAAGACCAGGGAATAAATATTGCTGTGGCAACCAACATTTATAAACTTATCTGTCGCCCAGTGCTGGAATATGGATCTGTTCTTTTTATAAATTGCAGAAAACCCACCCTAACAAACATAGAGATAGGCGAGCGCACAAGCATAAGGAAAATTACAAAAATCAGACATCCTCAAAATTCCTTATTTAACCCATCCAATGAAGCCCTTTACCATATCACTGGAATACAACCCATACAAGAAAGATTGGAATACCTAGCGAAAAAATTTGCCAACAAACCCGAAAACCTTAATGTGATGGAACCTTTGATTCTTAAAACACAACTCGAGACAACACCAAGGAGAAAATACCCAGAGAAATCGTTGTATGACTCACTCAGGGAATTGACAGAAGATTAATGAAGATTTTAACAATATATTTAATTATAACATTTTTTTTTTTTTTTTTTTTTTTTTGTAAAGTACAGAACATAAATTAAAATATAGTATTTGTTATATACAAAATTGTAATTGGGCAGGAAGACGAAAGTCGTTAGCCTTTTGGATTTCCAATAAAGTTTATTATTATTATTATTATTATTATTAGATAGAGTATACTGTGGTTTTATTTAAATTTTAGAATTTATAAGGTTATTTATACCTAATGATTGTTTGATGTAGATAAAATTTTGTCGAAGCTTTTATAGGTACTTGTATTGACACTATGGGTATATTAGCTGACAGTGTAAGGAACTTTAAGAAGGTTAGCTATTGAATTTTTAAAAAGAATTTACAGTTTTTTAAAATTAAGTATCTAATGGTTTTATATTTAAAATGTTTTATATTGCTTATTTCCAAGAGCCAGTTGTTCAATTATGATGTCTATTTTGTTTTACTCCGGCATAAATATTTTCAACTGTAAAACTTAACTATTTTAAGATATTTAAAATTAATTAAATATTAAAAGGGGTTTATTTTGAAGAAGGAATCTAAAAACAACACCTTAAAATTATTAAAATTTGCAAATTTCAAATATAAAACCATTAGATACTTAATTTTAAAAAACTGTAAATTCTTTTTAAAAATTCAATAGCTAACCTTCCTAAAGTTCCTTACAATGTCAGCTAATATACCCATAGTGTCAATACAAGTACCTATAAAAGCTTTGACAAAATTTTATCTACATCGAACAATCATTAGGTATAAATAACCTTATAAATTCTAAAATTTAAATAAAACCACAGTATACTCTATCTAATATTTTTACTTGTAGTAGTCTTTCTTATCCAGCTTAAAGTATACCTACATAAAGTTTTGTCAATACAATTACGTATAAAGCTTCAACTGAATTTTATCTTCATCGAAAAATCATTATAACTTTTAAAAATTTCAAAAACCACATGTTATTTATTTATTAATTTAACATACAGAGTATTAAATATTTTTACATTGCATGTATCTCTAAAAATTGTTTGTTTCCTTATAATCTATAGTAAATTTAAAAGTAAACTACGTACACGTCATCAATAAAACAAAAATTTTACGCATTGGTACCAACACTAAATGACTAAATCGAAGTCTGTAATTGAATATTTGAATGCATTTTAAACATCTTCAGTTGGCAACAATTAAGATGTTGTCATATTTACATTCAAATATTAGGAACGCCTAAATGCAGGAATGGGCTCCATCTTAATATAAATTTTGCGTAAAATTAAACCAAATCAAACCAAACCCAACCAACCCAACCCCCCGTAACCGCCCTATTGAAGCCTAACCACCCTATTGAAGACGATTATTCCATCGGTAACAAAGTTCGAGATAAAGGGCAATGCACGAAGGAATAATCGTCTTCAATAGGGTGGTTAGGCTTCAATAGGGCGGTTACGGGGGGTTGGGTTAGTTGGGTTTGGTTTGATTTGGTTTGTTTTATTTTACGCAAAAATTATATTAAGATGGAGCCCATTCCTGCATTTAGGCGTTCCTCAAATATTTCATATTTAAATGACACATAAAAAAGAATTTGACGTTTTCGAATTTCGAAGCTGTCAGTTGTGTTTTTGAATATTTCGTTTAATTCGTGTATTATTTCGTTTGTTGTTTTTGTTATTTTATATTGTTTAAGTTTTCATTGCCGTTTTTGTGTTTGTTATATATCGTTTTTTTGTGTTTCCTATATTTAAAATGCCGAAGCATTTAAATAGTCGGAGTCAAGAGTTGGTGTCATCCTTAATACGCTATTTTGAGGCAGAACGGGATAATAATGGACCTTTGTTACCTTTAACAGCTGTTAGAGAGGTAAATAGGATTATTATTAATTATATATTAGAATATTTAACAAAATATATGTTGGATACATAAAATAATAATATATATACCAGATACTGACTTTAGATGGCAAAATTTTTGGGTTTTATATCAGAAAATGTCTTTAAAAATGGCCAAAAACATACTTTTGGCGGTGCATCATATAGGTTATAAAAACTCAGACTTTTGACATTTTGGTATTATTCATGTAAACGCCATCTATCGCCCTGTAGTTGCACTACCACTTTCCCTTGATGCAAGGATTTTAGCATCACATTGACAACCGTGCCCGATCAGCTGATTGATGACGTGTACGTAGTTTACTTTTAAATTTACTATAGGTATGCACAAGTTTTGTTGTAAGCTTAACTCCTAGGAGTATAAAAGCTTTCATTTAATTTGAACCATATTCAAAAACTATTTAGTATATCTATATTTATATGACCATATTAACACACTCTTCCAAATAATCCAAAATACTTATTTATTTTGATCAAAATAGATTTTTCTAACCTTAAAATTTCAAAATTAGATGATATTTTTTGCTATAATATATTAACCCACTAAGCAAGAAACGTTTAAATAACGTTGGTCAACGTTAGCAGAGAGTATCAAAATGAACGTTACTTTGTATTGTTATACTGACGTTCATACAATTCAGT